AACGCATCATTATTTGTGAAGAAATCTATGGAACAATGTTTAAGCAATTAAAAAACTTTAAGATACAAAATTAACAAAATTAAGTTAATTACCTGTTTTAAATGAGTTTTCATCACGTGATCCACTTGTTCCGTTTGTAGRAGTAAAACCATTAACATTTTCAAAAGAATTTTTATTGTCAACCTTTAAAATTTGCAAGGAATAAGTTAATTCAAGAAATAAATGTAAAAAAATAGAAAATGTTGTTTTTAAATTGTAACTTACAATTTTTCCTAGAAGTCTACTACATTCAAGATCCCGGAATTCTAAATTAAATGATAATAAAGAATCTGGGATTGCATAAACATTTCCTTCAGCCAACGCTTTTTCTGTTGACTCAATTGTATTTTCCATTTGACGCTTATTCTCCTCCAATTGATTTACTTTATTCTTAAACTAACGAAACATAACATATTAAAAAATGTGTTAAACATTTTTCTATGATTAATTTTACTTGGCTTATTTGTAGTTGGGAATTTTGCAACATGTTATTCAGCTCATCTAATCTTTTGCCCATTTCAGCCTGATCTTTTTCAAGTTTTTGTTCTAGACTCTTGAGCTCTTCAAGCTCTTGTTTTTTAGAGGAAAGATCAGCTTCTTGCACTTTTAATGTAAGTTCTTGCTCATCAGCTTGTTTGCGAAGATTGTCTACCTATTGAATAAAATGTAATATTTTTTATTAATTTATCATCCATAAATAATAATTAATAAGGGTAGAATGCGGCTTCAGAACTTTTAAAAATGAATTAAGACCAAATGAAAATTCAATTAGTAATGATAACATTTAGCTATCTAATTTAAATAGGCTACAGAATAAAAGTGATTTATTCCAGTTTGTAAGCGTTTTACCGGATATATAACAGATGTTATGTTGAATTATTCGCAGAGTTTAGTTTTGATTAGGATTACTATATTTATTATATTTAAAACGGAACAAATATTATTTAAAAATTGTATTGGAAAAATCAAACCTACTATCTTTAGTGATCAACCATAAGTTTCAATACACTGTTTTCCTTTCATATAAGTACAGTAATTATTATAAATAGGTTAAATTTTATCTAATTTAATTAATTAATAATATTTAAATATGTAAACACAATATTGGCCACTATGATTCTACTTTCCAGTATTAACCACAGAGAAAACATGAAACCACAATCTACCTCATAAGATATATTTTTTAACACGTTTTATAGAATTTCTAAGTCGTGTTGTTAATTTTTTAACTTTAAGTGTATTAATTTAACATGCAGTTAAGTAAAAAAATAAGCTGGATGATAAAGCTAAGGTTTAGGATAAAATACCTGTACTTGTTCAGCCTTAATTTTCTGATTGATGTTGATTATTTCAGATTCTACCAACAGAGTCTAAAATGGTGAAAATATGCACATGCAAGTTAAAAGGATGAATAAAAATAATAAATTAATAAGCAAACAATCAGTAAAATCAGTGTTACATGACTAGAATGCAAAACAAATTAAAAATGTTATGAGTATGAATTAGTAAAATGCGCCCTGTGTTAGTCAAATCAAAAAAAAAAAAAAAAATACTAATAGGTACCAAATTCTTATCGGTTATTTAGATAACCGATTTAGATCGGTTATATTTTGGTTTAATTTGATTAAAATTTAAGTTACCTGGTTTCGAAGATCATTCAGTCGTTTTTGAGCTTCGCCTTTTTGATTTTCCAACTGTTTTAGAGTAGCAGATAAGGTGTCTAGTTCTCCCTAAAAATACATTTGTATTAAATAATAATTGTATTAATTAAAAGTAAAACCAAACTTTATATTACAGAACATAATAAACAAAAAAAATTTTATTTGATGATTACTCAAATAGTTTAATACATAACCTTATTTACAACTAAATAAAAATTGGTGAAAATATATAATATTTTAATAACATCTTTATTTATTGTAAAGATTTTAAAATGTTTCTTTATATTTTTTCAATTACCTACTCAGTTTCAAAAATAATCTTTAACATTTTTATTTCCAAATTTTTATATCAAAAATCATTTACAGGTAGAGTAGTAMAATAATCACATAGCTGGCAATGACTGCACTAGTCATCAATTTTAACACGATATAGAGCAAAAAATACTATTTTACTATTTTTAAGGTCTCCTCTGTCTAAGTTCCGATTTTTCCCATCCCAGCTGGACCCACTTTACTAGTTGTGATGTTCACATGTGTGAAAATTTTCTTCTTGGAGAGTGGGTGGGTGGCAAGTGTGTGAGACATATTCTACCCTTCCCAAGTGAAAACACATAGACAAAGATCGATAATATTGTATCAATGAACAAATACAAAAAAAAAAGAAATAATTTTACCTGTAAACTTTTGACTTCACCAGAACGTATTTTCAAATCAGCTTCTTTTTGAGCAATTTCTGTTTCCAGAATGAGTCTTTCTTTGACTAGTTCATCAATATCTTTTTGAATCATATCCAATTCTGGGTTTGAATACATTGGAGGCTTTTCTAAAATCTTAAGAAAATATAATCGTTAAATCAATAAATCAAAATACATTCATTTTTATTTTCACAATATAATTATATTTTAAAAATTACTATTCTACATCTCAGTGGTTTTCGGCCTTTTGAGCCTAACCCTAAAATTTTAAATTATCTTTTGAACCCCTTAAAACAATAAAAAATTTTAATTATACATACTAACAAATAATAATACTCATAAAAATCAAGCAGAAATATTAAAATAATTACATTATGTGAACCCATTGCGGTTCATTATAAAAATCTCCACAGCTCTAATTTAATATCAACCCAAGGTTAAGAAGAGAGAACCACTAATTTAACTCATATAAAATAAAATACTTTGCTCACAAAGAGCCAAACTGTAACTGCTTTATTGTTTTATAATAGTCATCAGTAAGCAATCACCACATAAACAATGTTATTTAATAGCTTTGGTTACTAGAAGTATTAATAAAACTGTTTAATTAAACAAATTAAATTAAAAAGATGTCAGCTTAAAATGATATATTTACATGTAATTTCTACAACAATATTTGTTTTATTATTAACAGAAAATATAATATCTATTGATTTAAAATCAAAATGGAGAAATTTGCGAAAAAAAACAAAAAATATTCTAGAAGAAAATTGGAATAAAACTCGTGGAATCTCTCAAGTAGGACCAAAACCCAGTTCTTATCTTGACTATCCAGGAAACA